AGGATTTACGAACTTTCAGACAGACTGATAAGAGTTTGGATTCAATTTTTCAAAGGTTAAAAGGGGATGATGCCCCGAAGACATCTAAGAATATCTTAATTAATTAATAAATCGGTAAATATTTCCATATTTACAGAATTTATAGAAGAATCCAAAAGTAAGTAAAAGCTTACAAATTATTCGCTTACCTAATAACCCCAACAGATGCAAACATAAACAGTTATGAATCATTGGAGAAGCACACCATACTTGATTATAGGGGCTAGCTGCTAGCATTAGCCACAAGCTTACTCAACCTCTTAGTGGTTGTTATGTGTATTCTCATGCATCTGCTTGATCAGGGAACCTCTGGGTCAATGTTCGGCTCTAAACTTTGCATTTGGCTTTGCGGCTTTTACAATAAATAATTACTGGTAATATTGTGGATGATATGATATGAGCCACCTCTACATAGCATTTAAACTATTTAACATTAATTACAAATATATAATTAAATGAGTGCCTGCAGGACATTTGAGACATGTGTCTCTAGCTCTCAACTGTGATCAGACAGACAGACAGACAGACAGACAGACAGACAGATAGATAGATAGATAGATAGATAGATAGATAGATAGATAGATAGATAGATGATAGATAGATAGATAGATAGATAGATAGATAGATAGATAGATAGATAGATAGATAGATAGATAGATAGATAGATAGATAGATAGATAGATAGATAGATAGATAGATAGATGATAGATAGATAGATAGATAGATAGATAGATAGATAGATAGATAGATAGATAGATGATAGATAGATAGATAGATAGATAGATAGATAGATAGATAGATAGATAGATAGATAGATAGATAGATAGATAGATAGATAGATAGATAGATAGATAGATAGATAGATAGATAGATAGATAGATAGATAGATAGATAGATAGATAGATAGAAAGATGTCCTTCAAATCATGATGGTCATACTAGATGTAGTAGTTTTAGTTGTAGGGTGTATTCAGTTATATTATTAACTTTAATTTCATGTTATGGAGTTAAACACGTGTTCAATAAAAACCCAGCCTTGTGAAAAATCTGGAAATATGTATTTTGTTCATTGAGCTACTGATTAAATTAGTACATTTTAAACAGGGTGTACTCATTTATGCTGAGCACTGTATGTATATACACTCACCTAAAGAATTATTAGGAACACCTGTTCAAATTCTCCTTAATGCAATTATCTAATCAACCAATCACATGACAGTTGCTTCAGTGCATTTAGGGGTGTGGTCCTGGTCAAGATGATCTTCTGAATTCCAAACTGAAGGTCAGAATGGGAAAGAAAGGAGATTTGACCAATTTTGAGCGTGGCATGGTTATTGGTGCCAGATGGGTCTGAGTATTTCACAATCTGCTTAGTTACTGGGATTTTCACCCACAACCATTTCTAGGGTTTACAAAGAATGGTGTGAAAAGGGAAAATCATCCAGTATGCGGCAGTCCTGTGGGTGAAAATGCCTTGTTGATGCTAGAGGTCAGAGGAGAATGGGACGACAGTTTCAGGCTGATAGAAAGGCAACTTTGACTGAAATAACCACTCGTTCCAACCAAGGGATGCAGCAAAGCATTTGTGAAGCGACAACACACACAACCTTGAGGTGGATGGGCTACAACAGCAGAAGACCTCACCAGGTACCACTCATCTCCACTACAAATAGGAAAAAGAGGCTACAATTACCACCAGCTCACCAAAATTGGATAGTGGAAGACTGGAAAAATGTTGCTTGGTCTGATGAGTCTCGAATCGATTTCTGTTGAGACATTCAAATAGTAGAGTCAGAATTTGGAGTGAACAGAATGAGAACATGGATCCATCATGCCTTGTTACCACTGTGCAGGCTGCTGGTGGTGTTGTAATGGTGTGGGGGATGCTTTCTTGGCACACTTAAGGCTCCTTATTGCCAACTGCACATCATTTAAATGCCACGGGCTAGCTGAGCATTGTTTCTGACCATCTCCATCCCTTCATGATCACCATGTACCCATCCTCTGATGGCTACTTCCAGCAGGATAATGCACCATGTCATAAAGCTCTGGTCATTTCTAATAGGTTTCTTGAACATGACAATGAGTTCACTGTACTACAACGGCCCCCACAGTCACCAGATAGAGCATCTTTGGGATGTGGTGGAACGAGAGCTTCGTGCCCCGGATGTGCATCCCACAAATCTCCATCAACTTCAAGATGCTATCCTATAAACATGGGCCAACATTTCTAAAGAATGCTTTCAGCACCTTGTTGAATCAAGAACACATACAGGTCCTTCTAAAAAAATTAGCACATTGTGATAAAGTTCATTATTGTCTGTAATGTACTGATAAACATTAGACATTCATATATATTAGATTCATGACACACAACTGAAGTAGTTCAAGCATTTTATTGTTTCTAATATTGATGATTTTGGCATACAGCTCATGAAAACCCAAAATTTCTATCTAAAAAAATTTGCATATTTCATCCGACCAATAAAAAAAGTGTTTTTAATACAAAAAAAGTCAACCTTCAAATAATTATGTTCAATTATGCACTCAATACTTGGTCAGGAATCCTTTTGCAGAAATGACTGCTTCAATGCGGCGTGGCATGGAGGCAATCAGCCTGTGGCACTACTGAGGTGTTATGGAGGCCCAGGATGCTTCGATAGTGCCCTTAAGCTCATCCAGAGTGTTGGGTCTTGCGTCTCTCAACTTTCTCTTCACAATATCCCACAGATTCTCTACGGGGTTCAGGTCAGGAGAGTTGGCAGGCCAATTGAGCACAGTAATACCATGGTCAGTAAACCATTTACCAGTGGTTTTGGCACTGTGAGCAGGTGCCAGGTCGTGCGGAAAAATGAAATCTTCATCTCCATAAAGCTTTTCAGCAGATGGAAGCATGAAGTGCTCCAAAATCTCCTGATAGCTAGCTGCATTGACCCTGCCCTTGATAAAACACAGTGGACCAGCACCAGCAGCTGACATGGCACCCCAGACCATCACTGACTGTGGGTACTTGACACTGGACTTCAGGCATTTTGGCATTTCCCTCTGCCCAGTCTTCCTCCAGACTCTGGCACCGTGATTTCCGAATGACATGCAAAATTTCCTTTCATCTGAAAAAAAGTACTTTGGACCACTGAGCAACAGTCCAGTGCTGCTTCTCTGTAGCCCAGGTCAGGCGCTTCTGCCGCTGTTTCTGGTTCAAAAGTCGCTTGGCCTGGGGAATGTGGCACCTGTAGCCCATTTCCTGCACACGCCTGTACACGGTGGCTCTGGATGTTTCTACTCCAGACTCAGTCCACTGCTTCCGCAGGTCCCCAAAGGTCTGGAATCGGTCCTTCTCCACAATCTTCCTCAGGGTCCGGTCCCCTCTTCTCGTTGTGCAGCGTTTTCTGCCACACTTTTTCCTTCCCACAGACTTCCCACTGAGGTGCCTTGATACAGCACTCTGGGAACAGCATATTTCTTCAAAAATTTCTTTCTGTGTCTTACCCTCTTGCTTGAGGGTGTCAATGATGGCCTTCTGGACAGCAGTCAGGTCGGCAGTCTTACCCATGATTGCGGTTTTGAGTAATGAACAGGCGGGGAGTTTTTAAAAGCCTCAGGAATCTTTTGCAGATGTTTAGAGTTAATTAGTTGATTCAGATGATTAGGCTAATAGCTCGTTTAGAGAACCTTTTCATGATATGCACATTTTTTGAGATAGGAATTTTGGGTTTTCATGAGCTGTATGCCAAAATCATCAATATTAGAAACAATAAAAGGCTTCAGTTGTGTGTAATGAATCTAATATATATGAAAGTCTAATGTATACCGGTCCTGATTGACTTCAATAACAGACAAACCAATCTTTTTCACATAAATAACATACTTTTGATTTTAAACCTCTGGGCCACTGCTGCAGTTTTTACTGGGGGTTATAAAGAATGGATGCAGAATCTCAAACAACATAACACTGGACCTGAGTTTATGGTACCTAAAGTATACCTAAGTGTGATAAAGTAAAGAGGAGTTAACATATTTTATTCTTAGTTTATGTCTCGTAAACATGTAAAATGTAGTAGCAGGAAGGACTGGAGAGCTGTATTTAGACCCTGCAGGACACGTTTGTAACTGATTGTAATACCTTGCAGATGGTGCTCTGTGTGTGTGTGTGTGTGTGTGTGTGTGTGTGTGTGTGTGTGTGTGTGTGTTTGTTTGAATTCTACAGTGCTAGCAGGAGAGAGAGTGGCATAAACCGCAGATCAAGACTTGTAGAAAACAACAAATGGTAAAAATTACACAGCAAGCACGGCCCAACAAGTGGAACTAAAGCAGCCCTTGTCTGGAGGACCCTTGGGGTGGGGGTTGTTTCAGAAGACACATGGGCCCGCCCCAGGGTCACAGAGGGGGCTGCAAGCTGAATCATTTACTTGTTGGGTTTCTACACCTTCATCCAATAGAGTCTGTGACCAGAGCTGAGTAGACATTTGTCAAATGCAAATATTAGAGAGGCTGCAGGGCTCAGTATAATTTGGTGACATGTGGCTAAAAGTACACACTGGAAGTGTCACACATCACCGGAGCTATCAGGTTACTGCACCTTGCTGGAACAGGCTGAAATAGTCCCTCAGATGCCAATGGGTAGTTCACTACTGGCATAAGGAGTATCTGATAGCTCTCTGAGTGTGAAGATGGAACAACCATATGTGCACTGCTGCAGGTTTACTGGATGTCTTTAGAATGACGGTAATAAACATATACAGTTTAATATCAGGGTATGGTTTGCATCTGTCAGCTTGGTGCAATCCGGTGCAGAAAGGCTGCAGACTTAAAGCTAAATCCTGCACCAAACAGGTTGTACAGGTAGTGAGGGCTGGAATATCTTTCCTTAATGCTCGGCAAGGCTGCAAGGTGAGGTGTTTGTTGGCTTTGAGTCAGCGCAGGAGTGCGCCTTGGCTCGCCCCTCCCCTCCCATCGCTCCGCTCCAGCTCTCCTCTCGGCGCTCCAATAAAGCGCTTTTGTCCACGGAGTCCACACTAGTGCGCATTCCGTGACTTGGAGGCTGATGTACCTCACCGAGGATCGCTCCTAATAACTTTCATTCGTGCGCCAAACCTTCTGTATTTTGGTTCCTGAGATTCCAAACACGGAACCCTACCGGGTGTGGAGTAAACAGCGTGAGGCGATCTTCTTGGATAACGACGCAGACTGCGCTCCAAACTTTTAGAGTCACAGTGACGGTAAGAGTTCAGCTGCTGCACAATATCCAGAAACACTGAATTCAGCCTGTTTATTGAAGAGTGTAGATGTTGGGAAAGACTCGTGATGTTCAGGTGAGAAATTGGACGAATATTAAACACAAACGTTTTCACTGACAAGTAAAATCCGTCTGAACGCGGATTGCCTCAAAGTTAGAATATTTCACTTTAAACAGAAGAGGTCATATCAGTCCTAAAATTATCGGCCACGCTTTGATTGTAACGAATGCCTTTTGCACGCGAAACCTATAAAATACAAAACGCAGCAAAATATATGAAATATGCGTTTCTTCTCTTGCATTAAGCTGCAAATTCGGGCGTCTGATGACTAATTGGGACGAAAAGCGTTTATTGTGGATGTATGTGCCACTGAAATGTGTCCGATTCTGACAAAAAGAGACGGTAAAAGTGCGTTCTTCTGCGTTTGGGAAATGCGTAAAAACGCAAGTGTGCGTAAAGGCAGCCGCTGGGGCGGTAATGAGGCGGGCTGGTGTTGGACCGCCGGACGCCGTGCAGCATGCAGGGACCGAGCCGAGCGTCTGGACCGCACCGAGCCGTGCTCACCGCAAAGGACGGTTGTTTTTGGAACTGTACAAGGGAGCGTCCCACATGAGTTCACCAGGACTCAAACTGGTCTCTATCAAATAGTTAGAGAGAGAGTTTTGGACCCATAAGCAGCGGTGAAGAGAGAAAGAACACCTGAATTCAACACAACCTTATTCCACTTGACTTCCAGGAACAGTAGTTTTTTTCTGGCCATGTTTCAGTTAGAATCATAACTGATGCCACTCTGCAAAATTAAAGATGTCCATCACCCCCTTTTATAGCTCAGAACAGGCACACACACTCCTGCCGCAGCTCAGTCGGTTTAGCTGACAGCGTTTCAGCAGATGAATGAAACAGTTGCTCCTACGGGAGCAAAGAGGTAAACACAGACATTAGACGAATGTCAGTTTTCATCAGAGGGTGAGTGAGCCATGAGGTCAAATTCCTGCAGGATTGAACCTACGAGTAACCTGCAAAACCAACATCAACGAAAATGATGTGACTCGACATGTTTAGACCAACCTACGTTTCAAAAAGTAAAGATACAAGCAGCTGTCATCTCTCTTTCCTGTTCTCTTTCCAAATAGTGTCCCAGTGTAAACACCCACACCGTCTGTGATGGGGATCCTTTTTCATTCACCAGAAATCCAAATTCCTGTCCTCATAAGAACCTGGAGTTATTTAAGAACAGTCTTCTACAATCATGTTATCTTTTTACCAGATTCGCTTCCCTTGGGGGCAAACATGCAGCCCAATAGCATCGTTAATAGCCCACCACTGGTGCACGGCTCACTTTATCACCATGTGTTTCCTCACAGACCGTCATTATGTCATAAAAGCAGCTACTCTGTCATTGACAGCGTGTAATCGGCACAATATGGTAATTTATTAAGGCTACCAGACGAAGTGGTGCAGCCACAGGAGGTCAATTATCCCTCGCTAATGTGGAGAAGTTTTGTTCTTCCAGTAGACTTGGTGTGATAAAGAACACTAAAGTGAGCCAGAAGAGCCATTTTTAGGGTCTGGCTCTTTTCAGGGCCAACTGTGATGGTTAAGTTACCTGTTGAGGGACAACGTGACAGAAGCACCAAAGCAAGGAACAAAAAGAGCATGAACTTACATCTGCATCTAAAGCACAAGGTTAAATCACAGCTTGTCAAAATATTTGCTGCACAACTGATGTTACAAACCAAAGAACATGAGAGTGTGTGTGCACAAAGGACGGATTATTCCTGTCATGCCTGCGTGTGGCCGGGAAGCAGACGAGGGAGAAACAATTGAGCCCAGAGCTTCTCTCACACACAGTGACAGCGATGTTGAAATCGCCCCCACCCGCCCAGAGCCGGTTAGCAACATTGTGCCAACGTATCCTTTTATCTGTTATGGTTTTTGCTTTACAAAATCCTGGCTGGCATTTCATTATCTGTGCCAAAGAGCTCAGGAGGGGAAGAGCACCGATGTCTACATCTGCTCCTGACCGCCATTTTCATCACTTGGTGTTCCTCTAAAAGATCATTTTTGGGCTTATTGCTATAGCTCAGAGTGGTTTGGAAATGTAAGTATTTTCACCCAGATCTTTCTTTTTCCCCGCTGTCAGGAAGCAGAGCGTAGTTTTACACCAATTAGTGGGAGTGTCTGAAGCATTTGACCCTCTATATCAGAGGGATTAGAGGGTTAAAATCAGGTGCTGGTGCGAGGAAGAGGGGAAGGGGAGAGAAAGGAGATATTAGAATTTAGAGGTTGGAAGTAGGAAACATGTGTGTGTGTGTGTGTGTGTGTGTGTGTGTGTGTGTGTGTGTGTGTGTGTGTGTGTGTGTGTGTGTGTGTGTGTGTGTGTGTGTGTGTGTGTAGAGGACAGCAGTTATTTGGAGGTTTGGGCTCAAGCTGGGCCGCTCCAAAGTCCTCAGATCGGCGTTGTGTGTGTGTGTGTGTGTGTATTAGGGTTTGAAGTGGTTCTTCTGAACGCATCATTTGGCTGCATCGGCAAGCTCTTCTTCAATTTGGCTTGGCAGGCGTTTGAGCTGGGGTTTGCCTCCACATACCGCCGATTCGGCATTGATGTTGGAGGCTGAGGCCTTTGAAGCTGGAGGTTTTATTCAAGACGCCTCTTAGAAGGAGCCGCTCCAGCCTACAGCTGTCAGCCAAAACAACTAAATGCCCCCATGTGCCACTCTGTTGAGAGCTACAAAATAATTGTGAAAATTGGAACACAAGATGGATTTGTTTCCATTTTCTGACTAAAGCAGGCTTTCAGCAGGTCTTAAGAATGTAAGCACACACACACGGCTTGTTTAACGCCAACTCTGTTAAAGATCCTAATTGGCTCAAACATTCAACTACATTTCCACCAGTTTAGTGAGCAAAGTTCCCAAATTTCCCCAAATGTCTGTGAAGTAGAGAGAGGCAGAGGCAGGAGGAGGCTGCTCATCCCTGAAAAAGATGCCACAAATTGCTGCATTTCAGTGAGGCTGAAAAAAAAGGAAAAATGACTCTTAATCTAAGGATGTAATTACTGTTGGCCAACGCTGTAATTAGGAGCTGAGCCTTGAACTGGATCTAACTGGGCAAAGTTAGAGCTTACACACACACACACACACACATGCACACACACACGCACACATGCACACACACACACACACACACACACACACACACACACACACACACACACACACACACAATACTCTGATCAGTGAACTTCCCCCTCTTACTGATGAGTGAAAATTAAACAATCTGGGATTGAGGTTACCTCTGATGATGTGAATTACATCATGTGTTCGAGAATCATCTTCACACACTTTCATGGGTGTGTGTGTGTGTGTGTGGGGGGGGGGGTGTCACTCCAACGAGCCAACACTCAAAGCTGCTCTCTTTCTTTGCGCTGGTCAAATTTTGCCTTTCAGTCTGAGCTTAGACAGCAGATGGTCCGACTGTCTCCTGCTGCCCTCGGAGCACACACTTATATCTGAATGCACCCCAGAAATCAGCCAAAACCCAAATCACTCAACGCTGCAATCAGCAGACCAGCAGCTGTGACAGGGCCACAAGTCATGGCTTGTCATCGGTACAAATCCAAGCAACAAGAAACCTCAAAGCATCTAACATCCGAAGTAAAGCCGTTGTCTGCTCATCCAACCGTTCTTCTTTAGTGAGGACTCCTGCTTTGAGCCGCAATAACAATGTTGTGCTGTAAGCTGGAAACGTTCCAGGATGCTGAAAATGTTTTTTTGCATTAGCACCTGATTTGTCAGATGAGTCCTGCCTGTAGAGGATGAGGAACGATAGAGTAAAGTCATAAACAGCAGCTGCAGGCTTAAAGAAAAGTTTTGGCTGTAATTTGCACTTATTTCAGACATTCAGGTTTCACGTTGAGCGCCAAGTCGCGTCGTCAAACGTTACCGCGGCTTGCTGTCAACAAACCCACCAACAGAGCAAGACTCGTGGCATTTACCTGTGCAGATGGAACAGTGTATACAAATTAGCACACGCAAAGAGTAAAGCTTTGTGCAGTGGTGTTCAAATGTTCCAGGTTTACGTTGAAGGTGTCAAAGGCAAAAGGTAAATGGCCTGTATTTGATATAGCGCACACACTGGTGTGATGAGCTGCTCTGGGGCGCACTGACAGAGGCGAGTCTGCCATACACAGGCGCCGCGGGTCCCTCTAATCACCACCAGCGGGCAAAGTGGGTTAAGTGTCTTGCCCAAGGACACAACGACGGCGACAGACTGAGCGGGGCTCGAATCTGCAACCTTCCGATCACGGGGTGAACACTTAACTCCTGTGCCACCGTCGCCCACATGATCAGAGTTTAATAACAAACTGAAATCTTTGCAGGAACGTTCAGATTCGAGCATGCTTCCCGGCTTCAGGTGCCGTAACACCTGTTGTTGCCTTTTCATTTGGATCAACAGAAACTTTGATCCTAGGTTTACCCTCAAGAAATCCATCCATTGATTTCTAGATGGAATCACATCGTTTGAATAAATGTAACAATATGCAGACGTTTTCCTGTCAGTCACGTCTAAAACTTATTGGTGATCACGAGTTAATGCACAAGATGAAAACTTGTCATGAGAAAACGTCAGAGGTGATGCGCTTTTGTGTATCAGGTTATTCCAATGAAACAACTACACAGAAATAGGATTTGGATTTGGAAATAGATTGACACAAAAAAAACGTGTTGATGAAGTTGAAAAGTAAGAAAAATAGGCTCTGCGTAGGAACAGTAACCGCTTAAACCAATCTCAAACATCAGAGGATTAAAAACGTCATTACAAATGTTTGTCTAACGGAAAATTAACCTTCAACTTGAGTATAAATGGAAATATGAACATCTGATGTGGGCAAGCGAGTCATTTAACAGACATCTGCAGCCAGCTCGACCCAAAAGCAGTCCAACATGTTGTTTGGAGCATCGTAATGAAGTCAACACTTCACGTTTTCAAGTCGTGACTGGCAGCTTGATAGCGGAAGACAAAGAGCTGACAGAGTGGGGCGAAGTCGGCCTGCCTACGTTTGTGTGTTTGTGGCCCTGTTACGTTGCTGCAGCCTGCGTGTGCTCAGCATGCTCCTGCTCACAACGGGAATCTAACCAATTAGCAGGGAAAAACACTTCCTGTTCTGCTTGTGGGGTATTAACAGTGCATGAAGGCGTGTTGGAATGCCAGCGAAGCGGGGCAACAGAAGTTGGAAATCATTTGTTTAACAGAGACGACCGTTGTGTTTCTTCCAGGGTAAAAGTACCCGGAGAGAGGAAAGAAGAGCAGGCAGCATCCTGTGTGGGTGAGCGGAACACACACACACACACACACACACACACACACACACACACACACACACACACACACACACACACACACACACACACACACACACACACACACACACACACAGGATAAAACCTCTCAGAAATAAGTTTTAACTTCAGTATTTGCTTTATTTGTAAAAGTGTTTTTAGACATTTGCTGTCGTCGTGTCCTTGGGCAAGGCACTCAACCCTCTCAGGCTCAAAATAAGTTTTGATAAAAGGACGAACAACTAAGTCCTTCAGGGTTAAAAATGCTCATGAAATACGTATGTGGAGTAACCAGGTAGGTAGGTTTTGCACGCCTGCTGGTAATAATCGGCTGTTCGCTCAGCTTAGCACCCCCCGACCTCTTTGACCCCATCCTGTTAGAGCTGTGCTGGTTACCAGTGAGCTGTGACAAGCACTGACAAACACACACAGCTAACCTGGCTGCTAGTTCCCCCCTCTCTTCCTCTGATTCATGTCCTGTAGGGAAACATTTTCATTCTCCCTGTTACTGATTTTCAGCTGAAACTCATGCCCGCATTCCTGAAATTGCGCGCGTGGTGTTTCTGTTTGCTGTAAATGTTTTGCAACGCTTCAACGCAACACGGAGTCACTGCTCGGAGAGCTCCGACATCAAAGCGAGTAGAAACCTCTCTCTGACATTCTGAGCAGCTTTTACACATCTTCTTCCAGATGTCTGACTTTACATCTGCATGCACCTGTAGTGGTTTAAATAGAAACAGCAATTTTTTAATTAACAACACGAACAGGCGTATCATTTTCCATTACTAATGTTAACATTTCTACTTAAAAACACACAGAAGAGCAAACAAGGGTGTTCCAAGATGTTTGCATCCTGTAGCTCTGCTACACACTTTACTAGACCGCGCGCGCGTGTGTGTGTGTGTGTGTGTGTGTGTGTGTGGGTGTGAGGGAGAGAGAGAGAGAGACAGAGAGAGCAAACACACAGAGTGTTTAAACCCAGGAATCTGCATGTATCCTGATGACAGCAAACACACCACTTTGTGCGAGGACAAATAAAAACTTGCGGCCAACAAAGCATCATTCATTTCTTCTGCCTCAAAGTGTGACAAACACATCATGTGTACCGAAGGAACAGATCTGGGTCATAAACCGCACAAAGAGGTACTATCTCCGGTGAACGAGGTCAATAAGTTGCAGGGAAACAAGTTTTTTTTGTGGAAGCACAGAGACAGTTTTGCATATTTGAAATCCAAACCAGACCCTCTCAACATCACTGTTAATTATACATCTTAGTTTGGTTCTTTTAAATGTGTTTTTTTCCGTGGGTATAAACTGTATTTTAATATTTATATTTGATATGAAAATGCAACAAGCGGCACTGAAAATTAGAACAAAATGATAAGAAACAAAAAAAAAACTGCTACTGCAAACTGAAAACTATGTAGGTCTGCGTGTTTTTATTTGTCCACTCGTATCTTTTTTTGGGACAAATGTGAGAAACCTTAAGATGGCACACACACCAGTTGTGTGGAGTTTTGTGCTCCGTATGAAGGCAGGCTCATCCGTTCAGTCAGGCAGGTAGATGTGACTATGCCTCTGTCATTTTATCTGTTAAGATGTCAAATAAACTCAGAATCAGTTATCAATCATAAAAAGTACACAACAGCCCCTGGTAGACGTGGAGGATTGAGCAATCGCATCGGGCGTGTGTCAGCCTGAGTCACTGAACACACAGGGTTTAAAGCTGGCACACTTAGTTCAGAAGGTGACACTTGGGGTACCTGAGGCTATGGAGGAGAGGTCCGCCAGCGTTAGCAGCCAACTGCTAACTGCACCGCCTGACTGCCGGTTTGCTAGCAAACCTCCCCTAGAGCTGGCACGGGACCAACTCAGGCAGCAGTTTCACAATAAATTCCTTTGTGACAGTAATCAGCACTAGTGATCTCCAGCTCACATTTATCTCGTGTGTGTGGCACATGTCTGAGTTTGTGGGGGGTTTTCTGTTTGGTTTTAGGTAAGTTTTGCGCAAGGAAAAATACCGCGCGGCAGATTGACAAGAAATCTAAACTCCTGTCGTAGTCATTTTGTGATCTGGTGACTGAAAATGATCAAAGCTGATTGTTTTCTGACGTGTGTGCTCTAAGGTTAAATACCTTTAACAAACATGAGCAGCTATGTTTGTCCACCAGTGACTACAACCGTGATGTGTAGTAAACAAGCAGATGATTTCCTGTCGGAGCGAGGTCACCGCTCGCCATCGCTCCGGCCTAATGAACACCTGGAGTTAGGCCGTGGCAGGTGGAGGAGATTCAGAAGATTCCAGGCATACTCTTGTCATGAACGAGCCCAAGAGACATAAAAGACCATCAAACCCAGCACAGCAGAGGGTTTTAGAGACATCTACATTCCACCTGCTCCTGTCTGAAGGGCCTCTGCAGAACCAGTTCAAACAAATGGAACTTCTTGAAATCCAGAAAGAAGAGTTGGCTTTTGGCGGCCTGCCTGTTTAGGTGGGAATATGATTCAGAGAACAGATGGATTAGTAAACAGGCAGCAGGGTAATGTGTTTCCTGATTGAGTGTGTACTGTTTGTCTACGAAGGACAGCCGGCCTGGCAGGTTGCTGCCTGCTTTGCGTGCCCTCGGATTCGTTTTGAACCCTTACACAGTGCTGTTGCAACAAAAGGGGACAACAAATGTCAAAATCAAGTCGTGAACCAAGACTGACTCAATCCTCTGACATTTAGTGCAAAATCCCTCCTCCTGTTCTGGGGAATTTCCTCCGACGAACGATTGCTGTTCTGCTGGTATCAGTGTTGGCACAGAATCGTTTTTTTCCCCTCCACATCGTCGACACGTTAATAAGAAGGCAGAGCTGGAGAAACAAGCATGTTGTGCCACATCAGGTAGATAAGCAGCAAAATGGCCAAGTACCACTGCGGTCACGTCGGAGATGGAATGAATGTCATTCAGGAAGGCTGTCGGCGCGTGAGTGTAACTGTAGGCTCGTAGCTGACTCACAAACTGGTCCATCCAGCCACTTTAAACCCCAAACATAAACACAGCACCAACAGCGTCCTGCCCCTGTCCCTGCACGTCCTCTCAAGTGGTTTGAACACTGTCAAAGCTGTCAGTTTGAATAGCACCGAGCTGTTGGAGAAATGTTAGCTTTGTGAGTTCATACCCAGAGTAGAGCACTCTGCCAAAAAGTACAATACAGTTTAGACTCTAAGAGGATCCGCAGAGAGTCATAGACGAGATATTAAAGCACGGCTCAATGCCTGGAGAAATTCCAAACTTAGGACGCTAGGGTGTTACATCCACTGTTTCCTGGTGATGGCGAGCTTTTTGGCCTTGACGGCCTGTGACCTCTGCAGCGTTGTGGTTTGTTGTGTCTGACTGACAAAAGAGATGAGTAACCGATGTGAAGCAGCAGACTGACAAAAGCTGTGGGTGTAAACACCACTTTGAGAAAACTGATCAAAGCACAGGTTGTCAGTGGTGCGCTGGAGTCCTCTCTGTCTGTGTAACGCGAGTGTTTTGTGGTGAAGATCTCGGGCAGATGTGCACGTCCATGAAAGAAACATGCCTGTGAGGATCTGTCCTCTAAGGGTCAGAGGGCACTGCGAGCTGACGAAGGACCCGCGTCCTTCCTGAGGTATAACAAGTGAACACTGTGTGAACTGAGACAAAGAATGGATTTAGCCTCAGACAGAACTGCCTGCCTTTGCTCGTGTGTGTAGGTATAAAAAAACAAATCAGATCTAGCATCTGCAGAATCATCAGCCACATCCCAGAGCATTACAACCAAAGTAAGTGGTCCACATGCCCTTTGGAAGTAGACGGTTGCAAACACCAGGCTCTGGTCTTCGCTCCTCTCTCTTTTCTTGCTACAGGTCGTATCGTTTACTGAGACACACTCCAGAAAGTTTAGGGTTTCGTTTTGCCCCCGAGGAGCGGAGAAAGCACCTGTTGTAAAAAGACGGGGACCGACAAGACTCAGGTGGACAGGACTGTAACTGCAGCTGGGTGTGTGCCCATGTAGAACCGGGTCTGTTATCTTGTTGTCTGGGTCGCGGTTACAACAAAGGACATGAACTACAGAGCAGTGGAAACACTAACCTGAGCATAACCTCTGACCTGAAGGAGCCGCTCCACGTCTCACTTGCCTCTGGGCTTTGCTGTCCTGTGAACTGATGCTATCTGGGTTTCAAGTCTCTTTTGCAACTATCAAATGTGTGTGTGTGTGTGTGTGTGTGTGTGTGTGTGTGTGTGTGTGTGTGTGTGTGTGTGTGTGTGTGTGTGTGTGTGTGTGTGTGTGTGTGTGTGTGTGTGTGTGTGTGTGTGTGTGTGTGTGTGTGTGTGTGTGTGTGTGTGTGTGTGTGTGTGTGTGTGTGTGTGTGTGTGTGTGTGTGTGTGTGTGTGTGTGTGTGTCTGCTCTGTCTTCTCGATCCCCAGTGAGTCGTGGAGGATGGCTGCTTATACTGAGCCGGGATTCTCTGGAGGTTTCTTCCTGTTAAAAGGGAGTTTTCCTCTCCACTGTCGCTATATGCTTGCTTAGTATGAGGATTGATGCAATTTGCTGGGTTCCTTATATAGGAAACTTTATTTCTGGTTGGCTTAATGAACTGACCTGTATTGGAATGTTTATTATGTGAAGAGCCTTGAGACGACTCTTGTCGTGATTTGGCGCTGTATAAATAAAATTGAATTGAATTGAATTCAAGCAAAAGATCAGCAGCCTTTTCAGCACATGAAAATGTGTCCCCGAACACAGAGCTGTGTGTTTGAGTTGTATACGTACCTTCACATTTACCCCTTCTCTTTTCCAAGTGCCCCAGCTGCAGGCTATAACGGTACTGCCTCACAGTGTCATTAACAGGCTGACTGCAAACCGTAAATCTCCACATGAAAGAGACCACTTTTCACACAAATAATAAGCTATTTTACTACTAATTGGGATATAAGGGCAAAAAAGGTGGAATAAGCGAAAGTCACCAGAGAGG